ATCCCCGAGGATAAACCTAGGTAATAATTGTCCTAACGGCTCTCATTTGGAAAAAGTAACTCCTAAAAAAAAATGAAAATAAAATGGGGAATTGGCTAAGTCTCGTTTTTAACATCTTGTATATTGAGTTGACCATTTTTAGTTTTTTGCACGTACTTATTGTAAAAAGGGAGCTTGACTTGAGTGAATCATGATTGAATAACTTGGGCTTGTTTTTTTTTTTTTTTTTTTTAAGTTCATATGTGAGAACCGTACCCTCAGATTTGAGTTTAGTTTTGTGAATAACCGGATGATAATGAGAGTTACATGATGCATGTTTGTTAATCTTGGACCGTTCGATTTCTCCTTTCGAACTACTTGTTATTTTGTTTGCTTGAGGACAAGCAAAGAGTTAAGTGTGGGGAGTTGTTTATTGTGTTTTTGTCGTTATTTTCATGTGTTTTGTGTGCTTTATTATTTAGTTTTAGGCTCGTTTTAGTGTCGAACGGTCCATTTTATCGTGTTTTGTGTATTTTTATTATTGTATAGTGTTTTCGTATTTTTTCGCGTTTTCTCTTTTGCTTTGGTGTTGAATAGGTTCAACATGTCGAGAACGAGGAGACGAGCTGTCCAAGCCGATCGAGCCGTCCAACCCAGAAAATCCGACCAAGCCATACCGGGACGAAGAGAATTCAATGAGAAGAATTTTGGTCCGAGTTTCGTGCGAATCGGAGTTGTGTGCGGAAAGTTAGAGCAAAACAAAGTCGCGAAGCACAAACCAAGCCATGACCGGGTCCAGACCCACGCACCTACCCCCGCGCACACGCCCGGGCGCGCGCGCGCGCTCACGAGTGTCGCGTAGCCCAGCGACCCATTCCGCGAGCTCGTGGAAAAATCTGCGACCTCGAAAGTGCTCTCCACTCCATGCCCGCAAGCTCGTGGATATTTTCGCGACGTCGAGAGTGTTGCTTTTGTTGGTGTTATATACTTAAGCTTTGCTTTAGTGGATATTACACTTGTTATTCCTTGATGAATGAGAATTATGTTTGGTTAAATAAGTTCCACGTTCTGTTGTTT